ACCGCTTAATTTTACGCTGATATAATGAATTTATCAAAATTTTTAGAGCTGTTTTCGAAAAAACCGTAAAAATGTGTTTAGTCCATAATTTAAACAAGTGCCACTTCCGGTTAGCCGATTTTGACGCAAAAGTTGCTGTAAAATCTCAAGCATATAAAAACCTTAAACATTCAATTTAACTTTCCTACGACTTTTCATTTTTGAGCTAGACTGTTATCACACACACACTCACACAGACCATTTTGCGGAACTTGGTTATTTGGACTCAGGGGACTTCAAAACATGGATTTCCATTGAAAACTGAGATTCGGATATTTTCACGATCGCAATACTTTCCTTTGCTATATATTTCATATATAGCTAAGTGAAAGTAAAAATGGACATGGTGTCTTTTACCTAAGGGGCTCAGATAGATATTCGCATGAGGATTTCTTTGTTTTTAATAAATAAATTTGGACAATTATTCTAATATATTTTATTTATTTAAAAACATAAGAGAATACATGTATTTTATAGTTCAAAATATATCATTTGAAATATTGCTCAGGTTTTGATTGAAATAGAAAGTGGGTTCGCAGAATTATTTATCAAGAACAAAGAAATTCTTATGCAAATATAAGCACATGAAAGCTCACGTTTCGTTGAATCTCATCGATAATTATAGTCGTATAACAATTTGAATGAGTAAAAATGTATTGGACATTAAAATTTTTATTGCATTATAATCGGCATCATTATAATCTTTTATTGCAAATTTAAACAATACACCTACACTACAAATTCCCAAACTTTATTGGTTTGCCTACCCACCGAAATATTAAAAAAAAACTCAAGTTTTCATAATTTTTTTTCTATCGTCGGCTGTCACAACTTTTCTTAAATCCATAAACATTTTGTAGGATCAGATTCAATTTTAAAATTTTCGTAATACGCTTAAAAAATCTTTTAAGTCTATATCTGGTTCATAAATTAATGTTTATTCACATAAAATGTTCTTATTACTGTGTTCACATCTTCAGTATATCATTTAAGGAAAAAATCCTGAAATTACTTTAACAATTAAGAATTCAGAGAAATCGTTGAATATTTAAAAACATATTTTGCTTAGGTCTTTATTATCGAGAAAACGTTTATATTCATAAAAATGCTTATTTCGGTCAATGGAAAACAAGTGTTGTTAATAAATATTTAGATTAAACTACATTATTTTTCAACAAGGGTAGTAAAACCGTATAAATGGATGGTCTCAAATTGAAGGATTGTGGGAAAATTGTTATTATTCCATGCGTTAATATAAATATACTTTCATTGATTTTTAAGAAGTATTAGAAAGCATGAATGGCACAAATACTTTAAATCGATTCAAAGATTTTTCAATATTGAGTCTGACCCTGAAAAAATGTTTATTGGTTTGCGGAAAGATGTTATGACACAGCTGACATTGGAAAAAATAATGAAAACTTTTAAAGGAAGTAGATGATCCGGGGTGGCGGTGATAAATAGGCTGAAAAGTTGCAAAACTATTTTATTAAAAGCCAACGTTTCGACCCGACTTTGCAGGTCTTCTTCAGGGCTAGAGCGGACAAGATACAAACAAATAAAGAGAATTGTGGAAGTTACATAATATTTAGACAAAAATTATAAACAATGTAAATAAGCGTATTAAAATTATAAACAGTAAGTACATTAAAATATAAACAGCGTAAGCTAAGTGACAAGATCCTAAACTGAAGTAAATAGATGGTAACAATAATTGTTATAGTGTAATATATAATATATGCAAATGTGAATATACTTCTACAGATCTACAGAAGAGATTGAAAAAGAAGGAAAAAGGATATAGTATAAAATAATAGACATATAGAAATGTGGAGAAAGAAAATAAAAACAAAAATAAATAAATAAGTGTATAAAATTAGAAGAATAAAAATAGAGACTTACAGGTGTGTTCAGCTAGAAGTTTCACTTAGAACTGGAATATAAGGGTAAGGGTAGGTATTGTGGAATTTGGCTGAATTTGCGGAATTTTGAGATATGGATGGATACAAGGGAAAAAATACTATATCTATGAAATAATAAATATATACATATACATATAAAATAGAATTAAGAAATTATAGATAAGATTACAATGTGAATAAATAAATAAAAAATGGAAGAAGTAACATAGAAGTAAAACATGAATATAGAAATAAGAGACCATGCATTGCAGAACTACTTAATAAGTATAGAGAGGGAAAAAAAATATGAACAATTATAATTATATTTAGTTGTACATATGTAAGAAAACTAAATTTAAATATTAGATAATATTGAGACATGGTTAAAAAGTAAAATGAATACAAAGTGAAAACGGATGATCATACATTGATGTAGAAATTAAAAATAAAATTAAAAGAAAATACAAGAGAGATCATATAAAGCGGAAATAATTAGAATAATGAACAATTGAATTGAATTAATCAATAAAAATTGAGAGTAGATAAAAATAATACGATGTAATAAAAGTTATTTTTCACTTATAAGATTTAAAATGTGTCTGCATGTTAAAGAAATGCAGTTTTTATCTACTTTATGATTAACAGGATTCTGTTCCATGTGAATATGGATGGATTCGGAAATGAGTCTTTTTTCATGTTTAGGGACCTTGGCAAGAATAGAGGTTTTCAAAATTTAATGAATGGATCCGGGTTAAGAGATGTTCTGATAGTTTGGAGGCGGAAGGGTTCCGAGAACATCCCTTAACCCTTTAGCCTGCAAGTTTTATATATATATATATATATATATATGACGATAATTACTTATGAAAAAGATAATTACGCAAGAAAAAGAAAGAAAAATTATTATGTATAAGATTGCGTCGTATAACTAGATCACGTTGCTAAAGTGAAGTGTTATAGTTCAATATGGATTTATCGATTCTTCAATAATATTTAATCGATTATTAATTGATTCTTTAATAATCTTATAATATTTAATATTATCCACTAGCGGATCCAGGATTTAATTTTTGGGGAGGCTTCAACCCGAAAGCTTATGCTAACTACCTATATGACATGGTGTTTAAGTGATTCTTGAAGTCCTATTAAAGTTTTTAGAGATCATTCTTTAATATTTTTTTATTAGACATGGTTTTATATTTTACCATTTTGGGGGGGCTTCAGTTCGGAAGTCTCTCCCCCTCCCCACGTAGATCCGCCTGTGGTAAGGAGTCAACTTATACTGTCGCAATTATTTTGGTTCTCCGAAATCCTTCTATATAGTTTTCTCAAAAAACCAGGAGTCTTTCGAAATATAGAACAATAAAAGCTACAAATAGGGAAAGAAATTTTTTGTCCGTTTTTTTTAACGGCTTAATTTATTCTTTACTTATAATTAATTCATTAAAGTGAAGTGAAGTCAGTAGGCATACTATTTGTTGGATAGATTGTAGAAGTTAGCCGAAAGTTAAAGAGAAATAATTTCAAAAAATAAAAAAAACGTTACCGACAGGTTTTCAACCTCATAATTCAATTTGAAGTAGCTATAGAGGAGTGAAACACGTCAAAAATGAAGAAAAAATCGAAACTATAAAAAATCAATTTGTATTGATTTGAAACTCACCCGTTCGTTACAAACTCAATACAGAACTTTACACACTCAATACACTTTTAAATTATTTGGAGTGTCTTTAGAGATGCAAAACTTCTAGAACCAGGTACATATTGTTTCTTGTACATATTGTACAAGAAAAACAGACAAAATTTACTATAATACATATAGAGGTCGTCTTCATTAAGATCTAGAATTAAAAGGGGGCTTTTAAGAAGTTACAATCATAGATAATTCCCGATTCATTTTTTAGCATCCTCTAACTCGACTATGTTACCCCACTGTTAGGGAAAGTTATTTATTTAATAATGTTTAAGTTCACACTAATTAAGTTGGTTTTTGTTATGAAATAAGTTGAGATTCACCCTTAATATTTTTTTTCTCAAAAGTGTGTTTTTAACAAAAATAAGTACAATAATTTATTAAAACAGTTTTTCTTTTCTACGATCTGTGATGAACTGTAATAAATTAATCATATAAAAAAACATTTTATTTATAAAAATAAAATAATGCTTTTGCAAAAATTAATAATTATAAGTGGTAATAAACAATCGTTTTTACACTGATCTCTTTCATGAAAATTATTCCTTACTATATATTAAGTGATCGACTAAATGTTCTTTGTCCTGATATTTACGTTTTCATGAAAATAGTCCAAGCAATTGTTGGATTTCATTTTTACAGAAACGTTAATAATAATACATTATGTCTGTATTTATGTCCTCCTGGCAAAAAGATTTACATTTGCTTGATTATAGCTATTTCTGAAATAAAATATCCCATCCCTTGTTGATAAATAAATGGTGCTTGTTTAGGAAAAAAAAAAAAAAAAATTACAATGCGGAAATAGGATTTTATTCCTTGATTTTTCAAATTGCTTTCGAATCCTATTTTCATTACCAATTGGACGCCGATATGAATTGACCACTCATCGTTTTATATATACATATACTAGGGTAGTACACTAACGGCGGACCAGCTCCCATTTTGCAAATTATTCAACTGTTCATTTAATTGTAATATTCGTTGCTCAAATTGTACAACTGTAATTCAAATGCGTTCTGTAGTTCAGATTTAATTATTTCTTATCAGCATAAAATAAACGGAACGAAATCACAGTTTGGACAAATTTGAAATTTCTCTAAAAATCTATATTATACATCGCCCCTTATTACCAATTTATATTATTATAATTATTCGTATTGCCAATTTGTAATCATAAGGGAGAAACAATTCTGGGAATAAGAAGTGTGGTGTGGTGTAGATATCAGCTAAACTCATTGACACATGGTGGCGTGTTGTATATAAATAGAGTACTTTCGGGGAAAAAACGACTAAAAAAAAGAGAAAATAAAATTATGATACCTATGTTTAAATTAAGAAAGAGACAAACAGTGTAATTGACTGATTAAGAGCTAGTTATTAAATTATGCACTCAAAATAACACTAAAACAGTAAAATAAACCTCAACTTATGCTGTCATATTTGTCACGTAATGTTTTTTTATCTGACGAAACCGTGAGATAACGTCAGAACTATTCTTTAAAACACAACTTGTACCACGAGGTTCAATCAGTTACCACCAACATGCCTTGCCCCACGGGATGTAAGTATCAATTTTGCGTACATAAATTTGTTATTTCTGTTCTGCTAAAATGATAAATGATTAATAATAAATTATGAAATGATAAATATGTAAGTTATAACTCTTAACACGTTGTTTAATTCTGTTGATATATTATGGTTCGTTTTGTGTTGAATTCATAATCCATTTAAACAATTATTGTTTATTGCATTGCGTTTTAGTTTCCATTACTAAAAAACATGCAAAGGTAACATTACTTGCAAGGTTAGATCAGAATTAAAATTTGGCTGGTTTTAATACGCATTTGCCATCAGTGAAATTATTTTTACTTAAAAATACTAATCGCCAATAGAAAAAGTTATTGTTATTGAAACTTAATATTCTGAAACAACTTTACATATTTATTTTATTTAGTATAGTAGTAGGTAATTACTGTAGTGACTTGTGAATTATCATAATAAATCGTCAAAACAAGCAAACAAAAAATCATACCTACAATAACTTAAAAAGGGCAGAAGGAATGGCTGAATTATTAGATCAATTTTTGCTCGTAGTTAGATAAAATTTGGTTTGGTACTTTATATATCACATATATTTAGACCCATACAAGAAAACCATATCAATGGATTCAGATTTTAATTTTGGAGGGCATCTTTTTTTTTTTAATAATTATAACCATAATTACACTAGAAGAATACGAAAGAAATTAACTATATAAAATAATGTTACCTGTATAAAATGGAAGGCCTATTAAAAAAAAAAAAATGATTTTTTTCGGTCTTGCTTTTAGAGACAATTTTTTTTCTTGACACGTGCTACCATTTATTAATTGTATATCTATTATAATTTCAAATTAATGTTTAGAATATTTGTTGCTCATATCAACAAATATCGAGCTCCAATGATCTGGTAACGATCCATATATATGTATAACGCTCCAAATTTCATCTTTAGAAAAAATATTTTGATCTTATAAAAATACCGTTGAGTCGTTATTTAAAAATTTCTGCTCTCTTCAACAATCCCTTCTGCTTTTTTTTAAACTGGAGGACTGAATCATCTTTTTGTTCTATCATATATATATAAATATAGTTTAGAATAACTAGATAAATCACTTTTTAAGGACCATAAAACGTAAAATGAAGTGAAAATTGAAACGCTTTTATTTTGACTGATGAAAATACTTTCTTTACCTCATATAGCTTGAGGAAATAAAAGTATGTCAAATAAATACGATTTTTCTTTCCTTTTAACGCTAGTCAATTATATATTCAGGTTTCAAAACGAGGCATTTTAAAACGCAAATTGTCAAGGATCATTGGAAAACTGATAATGTAATGTACAAATTTTGAAGCTCACATTCTTCGTTCATTGATTTCGTTATCAGTAAACTGGAACTTATCGAAAAGTAAATTCTGAGATTAAGAATTCAATTATATTAAGAAGGGCGATGGTCAAACAGACCTTGTTTGTAGATCACTTCGTACTCCCGGCTGTCGTGATAAGAGAATGAAAAGCGTGACACTCCATTAAGTAATAGTTATCTATTCTCAGTAAGCATTATCTTGACAGGGAAGAAAGAGCTTATAAACCAGTATTATTTTTTTATCAAGCTGTTCGGTTGATTTAAAATAGAACTCAAGTATTATAAATTAAAATTAATGAATCTGAAATAAAGATTTTATGTAATTTGTTACATAACAATCAAGTAAAATTTTATTTATATATTCCATTCCAAAATTATTCATTAGAGTTTAAAATTAATTTGATAGATATATTGAATATGATTTGAAAAAGTAGAATTTGTAACGGTACATTTACTAAATTTAGGACTAAATATTATTTGTATTAATCACAATATGTTTTGTTAACTTCCATGTTGTTTATTGTTAATTTTCTACTGCAGTATTTTCCAGTACATTGAAATATTTTGTTAGACAAATCAAACATATTACCTAAATGATTTAAACATAGTTTTTTTTTTTAACCCATATTAAACATTATTTCAGACTGGTAATAAATATTATGTAGAAAAAAAAATGTAAATAGTGTATAAATAAGATGAATATTAATTATCTTCTTATTTTTCTTTTTTTATTAGGAAGCTTGCGTTTATAATTTTTTCATATTTTAGGCAATAAAACTTCCAATTTTCTTCATATTTTTTTATTTATGCTTGTTGTCTCTTACGTTTCGGGACAATTTTCCCTTTAATATCTTTAGAGTAATATTTTTATTTTTACATTGTTTTTATTTTGATGTGGCACCATTTGACAAAAATTAAATATTTGTCTCATTTTTTAAAAATTATTTGGTGTTACACATATTCATTGATACATGATGATGATGGGAAAATTGTCCCGAAACGTAAGAGACAACAAGCATAAATAAAAAATATGAAGAAAATTGGAAGTTTTATTGCCTAAAATATGAAAAAAGATTAATATTAAGTATATGTAATGGTAATAGACACTTTAGGAGAAATTTTCAACATGGTATTTACTGCTTTAGTTTTGACGGTGGATTTTTGCAAATGGGTTCAATTGACACTAAATTGGCACTTGTATCGATTTTTTTTAATATACAGTCAATTAGTTGAAAAACTTAGGTAATTCTGACAGCGTATTTTGTATCAATAATTGACACTAAGGTTAAAAAAATAATAATGTTCTGCACAGTTTTAAACTAAGAAAAGGCAAACTATAGTTGAATGGTTCAAAATTTCAAAGTTAACTCCTAATGAAAAGTGATCAGGAAACCTCTTAAGAATCAACTACCATTGGGCTACTGTGGCATAATATCACTTGAGGTGATCAGCCTCTTAAATGTTTTAATTGCTAATCTACTCATATTTTCACTCTCTTTTTATTGTAGTACTGAGTACGATTCAATACGGCGAATGGTAATGAAGGAAGAAATAAGAAAAGGACACTTGAAGAAGGTAAAAGGAAAACGCTATGAGTGTTTGCAGAGCCATCTTCACAAGATAGGCTGAGGATCCTAGTTGTAAATTGTCATCAAGGAAGAATAGATGCAGACCATCTAAACACATCCTTCCTGCCTTCTGTCCTGCCTTGACGGACATAAGAGAAAAGACATTTCTAAATATATATTTATATATACATATTTGTATTTATAAAAATCTACTATATATATATATATATATATGTGTGTGTGTGTGTAAATTATACTGGGCAGCAAGATGTCGGATCGCCGAATGACAAAGAACTTTGGCATAAGAAAAATAAATAAAATAATATTTGCTCTATCTTTTTAGCGTATAAAGCTTACTATCTATTAAAAATTTTAAACTGTCTATTACTAGTACAGTCTCTATTACTTGTATATCTACCTTACTTGAGTAATAAATATTATTAGGAGTGTTTTAGGGTATCGATTGATTTAATAAGATGTTTTCTTTATAATAACTTAATTCAAATTCATATTTTCAGGTACCGACCCAGATAATTGTGACAAAGAAGTCTGTAAAAAGGAACAATGTTGTAAACCAACAAACGAGGAAGTCTGTTGTCCCAGGCCAAAGAAGGAAGAGAAATCAGATGATGTCTGCTGTCCTATACCAAAAAAAGTCGATACATCCGATGAAGTCTGTTGTCCAAGACCAAAGAAGGAGGAGGTTTCTGAGGATGCATGTTGTCGAAGACCTACTGCTAAATGAGATAGAAAGAATAACACTTTAATATAATTTTGGCTGAAGTTCCCTAACTATTTTCCCAAATGTAAATAGCCATTCATTAATAACTTCTACATCATTACTTCTACTTCATCATAACTTCTATCTTAGTACCTAATAACAATAAATAAAATTATAAATCTTTATTTTATTTATTTTTTACTGACCCCTCAGCCATCAAAATTATGCTAGATAACATAATAATTACATTGAGTTTCTTTAAAGGGTTCTGATTGTACTACTTTGAATGTAATTATACTAATTGAACGGATCATGTCAGCTTGATTTATTTATAAATCAAATAAAAATACTTAAATTTACATTAAAACTTTTAAGCAGCAGTTAAAAGCTCACGCATGGAAACATTCCTGTTCTCATAACTATTCACGTCAGAGTAGCGGTAAAGGTCTCATATCATTTCAGTTTTTCATTATATCATTACATCTAAAACATTAACGAAGAAAATCACAAAAAAAAATTAGAAAAAAGCAATTGTGACATAATGATATTTTATATTGTAAATACGTGAAATCAATAATATTGACACATCTAATTTTTTTTTAAATTAATTTTTAAAGTGATTTCTGGAGTCTTATAATATATTACATTAGATTCATATTAAAAGTTTAGATATAATAGAATATGTTTTTAAGATTTGAAATTGAAATACATATAATCTTTTATATATATTTATCTTTTCTGGGACACAAGTCCCTAAAGAACAAGAATAGTGATCATAAATGGATGCTTATGATAAATAATCAGCTGAACTTGATTTTTATTGGAGGAATGATATAAAAGGAAGTGGAAAAAAAGTCGATGTTTAAACTTCCTTCAAATATCAACTATTCGTCGGCTTACCTATCCCTATTTCCATCTTCCATAGCGAAGAGGCTTTGTGAATAAGACATATGCAAGGTTTTTCAAAGAAAGCAGTAGTTTTATGCAATAGAGTATCAATAGATCAATTGCAAGAGCAAGAGAATATCAATTGGTTAGTTTCTGAAGTTAAAGGAGTGGATGAAGACACGCAGAGTAAGGAATTCGTAGATATAGGAAGAATTATTGTTTTTATAGGTTTTAAAAAGGTTAGAACCAAGGTACTGTTGCCGTTGGAGAGAAGGATAAATCACTTTAATGCGGTATAATAGCAAGAGATATGGTTAAGTCTGAAAACCTGTACCACTACCCAACCCATGAAGGGTCTTGGGTTCAGTACAATGCAAGGAAGTACTGTAACAAGGCCAACGGTATTGCGGAGAGGTTTCTGCTTAATTAATTATAAAATTAAGAGAACCCACTGGGTTATTCCCAGGAGGATCTCTCAGTCTCAGAATCGATCTACGGCAGATGAAAAATCACTAGTCATCAGCCGGATCCGAACCTGAGACCTTGAGCACTGGAAGTCGGTGTCGCCCACTGAGCTACCCCGCTCACCTAAGTCTGTGAACACCAAAGATAAATCATTCATCATTTACTTAACCAGTTCATTGTTGAGTCCTCCATAAACCAATCAAACTTTAATCCAAATAAGGAAAAACATGAGAGGAAACAAGTAACTGGTGTGCTTTTAAAGGCAAAAATTGCGGAATCTATGGAATTGTTTAAGGATAATGATAAATTTTAAGGATATCTTAGACACATAATTACTGTAGGATGGATGTTGGTCGAAGACGAATCCGAGGTGTTTGACAGTGATGAAATAGAATAGGGATGTCGTTCAGGAAAGTTGAAGGATGATAAGGAATGCAGAGGCTCATAACTAGTAAGTATAGTTTTAATTTGTCCTGCATTCAGCTGCTACTTGGTGTTCTGAACCTAGTGACAAATCCTGTATCATCCTGTAGTTTATGTAAGGATTTAAAGAGATCCTAAAATGTAAAGAAAGATACATAATTGGTAATCGGTTGACTGTCGTGGATAGTTGAAGAAGAAGTGTTGCAGAGAGAAATGCTCCTCCCATTCTCTCATTCTCCCTGCAACACTTAAGGAGACAGCCTTGATGAAGGCCTGAACTTCAGGTCGAAACGTCGGCATATGTAAAAAATAAATATTATCATTTATTTTTGCCTTTCTTTTTGACTGACCACCCCAACTATTCTTCTCTTCATTCGTAAAGAAAGATGAATTTGTAAATCATCATCAATAATATTGAGAAGGTAAAGGAGGTTTGTCTGCTATAAACACAGTCTGAGAAAGATTTGATAAGAAAGAATGGAGCCATTTTAAAGTTCTACTAGAAAAGTTATGAAGTATAGAAGGGATAATCTCTTGACAGAATCGGATGGCATCGAAAAATGAAACAAGATTAGGATTGTGATTTTCTTTTGATTAATAGAAGATTGAATATGTTGGAAGATTCTTAGGCAGATTATATGGAATAGTCTGAACTAAAGCCTGGTAGTTTGGGTTTCACGAGCGATTTTGTTCAAGGTATGAGGAAAGATTGTAATCAACTAATCTTTCTAAAGGTTTGGATAGATAAGAAAGAATAAACATGGGTCTGAAGTCTGTATCTTTTGATGGTGAAAGAACTTTGTTCGGAGGACGCTTCTATTATTCAATAGAAGGCACGGGCGGATCTACGGGGAGGGGGGCTTTCGGGCTGAAGCCCCCCCCAAAATGGTAAAATATAGCCATGTTTTATCGAAAAAAATATAATAAAAGTATCTCTTAAAGTATTATTGTTTGTGTAATTACATTTAAAGGGGCTTTAGGAATCACTTAAACACCATTTCATACAGGTAGTTAGTTTCTTTCATCTTTTCCAAAGTAATTATCGTTATTTTTATGAAAAAACCCGCTTTCGGGCTGAAGCCCCCCCCAAAATTAAATCCTGGATCCGCTAGTGATAGAAGGTAATACCACAAACATTTTTATTACAAAATCAAAGAATTTTGCTTGGTTGGAGAATATAGGAACATTTGACATAATCTGTACACGGTAAGTTAATAATCTATAATCTGAATAAATCTTGAATATCTATCCATAAAACCATAAAATGCAGATAAAAGTTGTGACATACATATATGGACCCTTAAACAAATTTAAACGTAACAAAATATACATATGTGTTACATATAATATGTCATATTAAGTATACACATTTATATGCTTTCATGAACACAGACAGGGATCCACGCAAATTCAGCGCTGAGTTTGCAGACTAGCCCAATATTCCGCTGGAATTTAGCAGATCTTAAAGGAAAGGCTAGTACCCAAACATAGCACTACGGTCAGAGCACTAAGATAAGCATCGGGAATCCATCAGATTGTTCCTAAGTACATTGACGTAATAGTGGGCTAATTATTAAACTCAGCGCTGAGATCATTGATGTCCATCTGAAATCCATCAATTGATCAGCCCTGAATTTAGGAACTTATTCTAAATCATTGGTAATATAAACTGGTAATATTTTAATCAAGATTACAAGAACTACTGTAGAATGTATTAAATTGTGTTAAGAATTCAAGTGTTGCTTCGATTTAGCATCTTTATTTTTATATCCTAAATTTATGATGTGTAAGTCATCTTCGTATCATTCATTCATTGAGCATCCATATCACTCTCCAGTCCTCTTGCAATAGTCAAGAACTTGTACTTAACGCTAAGCAGGGATCCGTTTCTAAACAGGGCGAAACGATGCCATTGATGAGCTTAGTGCTAAATTTAGGTCTTGCCCAAACACAGCACAAATCGCTCTCGATTTAGGTAGGGTTCAATCAATTAATTGATTTCATAGATGATTTATAGAATTGCCCATTTACGATGTCATCGATGAGATCAAGGCTCAGTCAATGAACTTTTCAGAAGTCAATATTTCTCTGTATTGAAAAGGCATAATTGTTATTATTATTATTATTTTAATTGATTTCCTTTTTCCCTCTTTTTTAGATCTTATATTTTAAACATCGTTTCCTAATAGGAATTTCAACATATAGTATGTAGTCAGTTTTTATTTTATCCTAGCAGAAAAATTATACATATTTTTTTGTTAAAAAAAAACATTTTGGAATTACAATGTTAAAATGTTTTTATGGACTTGGGACGAGCAGTCGACCCCTTGAATATTGTCATATTGTGATGATACATCCTTTATAAACGTTAACGATTAACGCAATAAGAAACATAATATAAATACAGCATTGACGAAAATAAGAATTATCTGAAATTGTCCTCAAATGGCTCAAATTTGAGGACAACACCGATCACTGGATATCTTCTTTGGGTTGTCTGTACATTTTGATCTCTTTGGAGATAACACTGCTTAATGCTTCGGAATGTTTGCCCTCAGAAGGTTATTAAAGGAGTCGAAGAAATTTTGCCGGTTTGTACACAATGAAGGAAAACAAACTCATTTTGGTTTTGAGAAAGTCACAGAAGAAGAAAAAACGAAAAAGGTTTACGACGTGTTTCGTAATGTTGCCGCAAATTATGATCTAATGAATGATGCTATGTCTTTTGGTATTCATAGAGTGTGGAAAGACATATTTGTTGAGAGACTGGGTCCAACAAACGGCATTGACTTACTTGATGTTGCTGGTGGGACTGGAGATATCACTTTCAGAGTCTTGAGGTATTTGAGGAATAGTAACACTCCAAGTCTTCCAGGAAGGATAACTGTTTGTGATATCAACAAATCAATGCTTAAAGTTGGAGAAGAACGTGCCTTAAAAGCTGGTTATTTAGAAGTCGAATGGGTTGAAGGAAATGCTGAAAAACTGCCATTTGAGGACAATATTTATAGTGCATACACTATAGCTTTTGGTATCAGAAATGTTACTAGAATAGATGAAGCACTTAAGGAGGCATATAGGGTCTTAAAGCCTGGTGGAAGATTTATGTGTCTTGAGTTCAGCCTTGTTGAAAATGAGGTCTTGAGGTGGTTTTATGATCGATATTCTTTCCAGGTAATTAATGATATATTTTTTATTAGTGTGGATTGCATTTACTCATACATTGTTGCAAGATTGAGTTGCTTTAGTAACAGATTTAATTTTTACAGATGATTCCTGTCATTGGCCAGGTTGTAGCTGGAGATTGGAAGTCTTATCAGTATTTAGTTGAAAGTATAAGGCAGTTTCCTGCTCAAGATGATTTCAAATTAATGATTGAAGATGCTGGTTTTGTAAATGTTAGTTATGAAAACTTGAGTTTTGGTGTAGTTTCCATCCACTCTGGCTTTAAAATTTAAATTATTTGTTTGTAATATAATCTATGAATTTTTTTCTAAAATATTCCTGTACATACTTATGGATTGTTATTTATTCTTTGTTGCGAAAGTGAAAATATATTTAATTTGTTCAAATATATTATATTTTGGATACTTCTTGTCTTGACTCTACTCCTTTCCAAAATTAATAATAAATGTTAGTTATAATTTGTTTAATTGTAATTTATTTAAATGATGTACACAACTTTCATACTTTATTCAGTCATGATTTCTCCAAATCCTTTAACTCAGTAGACCACTAAATTCTCCTAACCAAGCTTAAAAATATCTCCTTTTCAACTAGTACTCTTAATTGGTTCCAATTCTTCCTTACCAGCCGCTCCCAATATGTGTAGTCTCCAATAACCTCTGATCAGAATCTTTACCCTTGTCCAGAAGTGTCCCACAAGGCTCTTCCTTATTTCCCACCCTTTTTTCCATCTGCATCAATGACCTTCCATCCTCTATCCTACACTGTCAATACCATCTGTATGCCGACGACGCCCAGATTTACCTCTCCTTCAATCCGACCGAATACTCTGACGTCATCCAAAAATTACAGGAAGATATAAACGGAATTTGTGCCTGGGCAAACCATAATAGAATTACTCTAAACTCCGAGAAGACGAAAACCATCCTGATCGGAACTCCCTCACTCCTCAAATTCTTACCGACACTCTCCAATCTTTTCCTGAATAACTCACCTATCTCATTCCAGACTTAAATAAAAAACCTTGGTGTTACCTTTGATCAAACCCTCTCCTGGAAATCACACATCTCCCAAATTTCCCGTCCTACTATCTCTACCCTGAAACAGTTTAACCGTCTTAACCTTCCATATAAATCCCGACAACTCCTGGTTTCCTCTCTTCAACTATGGCTATCTGGTGTATACTCTCGGGAGAATACTAAGCGAAACTTAAATGCCTAATACAATACGTTTTGTCTTCAGAATCTCAAGAGATACGCATATAATCCAGTATTACACCAAGTACAAGTGGCTCTGTCCATCCAACCGCCATCTGTACTTCCTTGCTACCTTTCTACACCAAGCCATCAGAACTCAGCGACCTTCCTATATTTTTCACAGCCTACAATTTAAATATTCCATTCAATCCCGTCCCAATAGATCCTGTACTTCTGACCTCTACCCACCTCCTCACCGAACTTCTGCGCTTGGCAAGTCCTTTATAAGTAAGCCGTCTCCATCTGGAATACCATCTCTCCCGATATTTTTCATGCGTAATCAGTTTCCTTATTTAAATCTCTCCTTTTTAAGCACCTACTTCTTTCCCAACCCGACTGATCAAGAAAAGTAGATAAGAGAGCTTTTTAAGTTCTTCCAGAAATGATTTTGTTTACTTATATTATTTTATTTTCAAATGTTTGTATTGTATACATATATATATATATATATATATATATATATATATATATATATATATATATATATATATATATATATGTATATATTTAGTATTTTTGTTTTAATTTTCTTCTAATATTTTAATTTTAATGAGATTGTAAATATTTAATTTAATTTTATGGCCTTACAGGCATTTTCTCTGTATCTTTAATTTATCCTAAAGGGTCAACAGTCCCAGGATAATAAAAATCTATTTTCATTTCATTTATTTGATCATATTTATGTTTCATTTAACATAATATTTTGTTGTACAAATAGTTACTTTTATTGATTATCATAAACTCCCTAATATTATTTTTAAAAAAAGTTAATTTATTGAATTTTCATTCACAAAACAACTGATGATGTTTCAGGCTCTTTTGGCGATTTTAAAGTCCAATATACCTATCTTATGACTGTCAATTAAATTTAAATTCAATAAAATGTAATATTCATCAATATATTATTGGTTCCATTCTATTCCATAAAATTATTCTTCTTATGATAATTCTTTTCTTACGTAATTGGTTCATCATATATTCTTTTATTATTTTAGAATACAAGTTTCTATGAATAATTTTGGTATTGATTCAATGTAGTATATTGACACAAAATACCAGTTTGCTTTTCTAACTTCTTAGATTGAATGCAGCTATGCATTTTGTTGGGCAGAATAAATAATATCTGCCAAATCTGGTCAAAGAAATGCTGAAGAAAGTTGGTTTGACTACTTAACCAGAAAAAAAAAGATTAATATTCTATATATACTATGATCAAAAAATCATTGTTCCAGAAACTTAAAAATCCCATGGTTGTATTTGTATCTAATACAGTTACAAATTTCTATAAAAATATATTTAAAAAAAATCAAATATTAATAATTCAAATGCAATTGAAAAGAAATACAATTACAAACGAAGTTTCACATTAATTATTGCAATAAACTTATAAGTAAAAATATTTTTTATGGATAATTTGAATTGAAAATTGAGTCCAACTCTTTTAATTCAACTTCAGTTTAGATGTTAATAATTTAACCTTTACAGCATATCCATGTAAGACTTGATGGTTTGTTATTAGAGAGTAAGCATTAAATAATAAATTGAATAATTCATTTATTTTTAATGTTTGTGAACTCATAATGAATTAATATTATAATACTAACAACTATTTGAAGTGGTTCATATGAGTACATGACTGGGTTTAACCGGGAGGGATAGTTCATCGATTGAAACCGAGATGGCGCTGAGTTCTTGAAAGGACAGAACTGTGGTCGATTCAGTGATCTGACAGCACCCACGACCTGTAAATTTTTTGTGTTCGCGACTTTTGTAAATAAAATCTTTTCAAGATGATGTCCTTAATTAATAGGATTTTAGATTGGTTTCGTAGCCTTTTCTGGAAGGAAGAAATGGAACTTACTTTAGTAGGTTTGCAGTGCTCTGGAAAAACTACTTTCGTAAACGTAATAGCTGTGAGTGTTTAGTATTGTCTATATCAATATTATTTAGTTTATTTATTAAGTTGATTTTTAAATAATATCTACCTACATTGTATTTGTTCTCCATATTTAATTATCATGTTAATCTGTAAACTGTTGTATTTTGTCTGTGGATGTGAAAATTTAATTTGAGGCTTTTAATTTTTATGAGAGAAATTTTCAGGATTCTTTATTTACTGTTTATTCATATTCATTATAATTTATGTTTCTATGAATATATTTTTATTTCTCTATGCATTTGAAGTAAGCTTAGCTTCATCAAGATATTCATTTAAGAAACCACAAGCTTTGTCAGTTTACCATTATTAATACAAATCTAATTATTGTTCTATCACATTCTGAAATCTTAAATCGTTAAAAAGTATAAGTTAAGAATAATTATATGAGGTAAAACTATTTAATACTATAATCAATTAATATTATCCTAGTTTTGTCAATGTGCTAGATGATTCTTTTGTTCTTTGTCAACAACTATTACTTAAAGTCAGTGTCAACTTGAACATATTTTAGAATGCTTAGATACTTCATCAGTAATTGAATGAGTCATGTTGTGCCCTATTCAAGGAAATCCTCTGTTATTGTTTGCAGGATTACATGTCATGTTTTAATGTAAAAAATATATATGTATTTAGAAGAGCTTCCATTTAATTAAAATCTGTTTTACCAATTTTATACCAAATTTGTTCTAATATTTTTTATTACATTTATTTACTTAAAGCAGGTTGGTTTCTTGTTCATTCTTTATCTATTTTCTCTTATTTTGTAAGAATGGTGTGTTTACTTCTTAAGGGCACTAGTTTTCTGTTAAATACCGGTGCTGTCAACTATTTAATTTTGTGGATTACTTTATTTTTGCAGTTAGGTTTACATTAGTAATATCTACCTCCAGGAAATTTATAAATTTTAACCAGTTTCTATTTTTTTTTATAAATATTGTAGATTGTTTATTAGCCATCAATTTCTAACCAATACAGTAATTGGCTTTTTAAAACCTATGAAATAAGCAGTACTTTCAGTTAATCAAATGAAAACTTGTTACTATTTCTTAAATTTGACTTTATATATTGATGGATTGTGTGTTTATTAGGTTATGTTATATTTTTCAAAGAAAATTAAAGTTTATTTGATTGTAAGATATTGTGGAGAAATATTTTTAAAGCCTAATGTTTCTTAGTTCCTGTGGTACAGCACAGTATTGTTGTTTATAGTTACTGATTTTCTTTTATAATAATAATAATAATAAGGCTTAGCGAACCCGAAGGTTCGATGCCGACACCACCAATCGCTTGTTACACACCTCCCTCCACCGTTCACCGTCCAAACCCAGTCCCTTCAGATCGGCTTTAATGCAATCTTCCCACCTTCGCTTCGGTCTACCCCTCGGACGCTTACCATTCGGCACCGCACATATTAACCTTTTAGGAATTCTCTCGTTACTAAGCCCAACAACTTTACAAGCCCATTGATTTTCTTTTATATGAGGGCAAAATCTTGAGAATGTGGTTGTTCTTTTTATTTCTGTATTTTTATAAGATTTAGGAGTTAGCTATATAAAGATGATACCTCCATTTCAACTTGTGTTTGCAAAGTCACATTAAAAACCGATTTGACCATAATTTAGAGATGTTCACCTTGTTTGAAAAAGCATAATTGTTAAAGAAGTATAGCTACCAATAAGTACTGCTTTAGAAAACTATCAACCCAAATTAATATTTGTTTCGGTCAAAGTGGAAATGTTCACTTTTGATAGAAAATTTTTCAATTGTAATCAACCTTCTTTTCGTTTTAAAGCTAAATAGTTTTCCTTAAGAAATGAAATTCTCATTGGCATTCAGTTCTTGAAGATTAGTTTTATTCATTTCCTTACTAATTATAATCCAAATTATCGCTCTCGTTATTATCCAAATTATCTTGTTTATGACTTTTCTGTGTTTTTTGTGAGGTTCTAATTAGTAAATTGTTACAAGAATGTGAAGTAAATTTAAATTTAGTTTTCTTTCATGTTGTAAGTACTTATGGTTTCATTTTCAAATAATTTTAATTTTTTTTTTGTAGGTTTATTACATTTTCTTTACTGACTATAAATGGAAAACATGTTATCTTTAATGTTTCTTCTCTTTTTTGTTTTTCTCTTAAATACTTAATTTTGTTATTTTCATTGAGTTATAAGTTCAATTATTATTATGTCTTGTTTATTATATTGTTGGTTTTTTAAGACCTTATTTATACAATTTAAAAATATACTTTAACTAAATCAAAGTTAATTTTTGTTTATATTGTTGATTCATCTATTAACGAAATTGAAGTTAGGATTTTAATCTATTGTTTTTTCTATAATTATTTTTGTATATTTGATTTCAATGGCAGCATTCTCATGAAATATTTTTAGAAGTAACGTATCAGAAAAAAATTAATTATAAAACGAGTAAAAATATATCATTCAAAATTATTGAAAATAACTGGCAAGTTGGATAGTGATATGTGATATTTTTACAATGGCTTTAGACAAGACTAATTAGGATACTAATTCTGTGGGAAGAAGGCTGACTTAGATGTTGCAACTCTTTTTGAACTGAAGTGGAAAAATCAAGTTTCATATAAATAGTAGGCGACTCAGGTTGGAAATAAAATCCACACTTTTACTAAAAATTCTCTTAGACCCTCAACCCATTGTCCTTGGGCGTTGTAGCGAAGTTCTCATTTTGAAAGTACTATGGGAAACTATAGGTTATCTCATGATATTTATAAGATAGTAAAGGCATATATGAATAGTCACAAATGAAGAGTATAATACAAGCAGAAGTTATCAGTTCTGAAGCTGATGGTGTTTCACTCATTATATTCAAGAGATGCATATGATAAAATGCAAATATATAAAATATGATAGAATAGAAAAAGGCTTAGAAGTAAACAAGTGGACATAAAGAGGTTTACTGTGCTGAGGCCCTGATAAGAAAAACAAAGCTGATTGGAAATCAAACTGCATTGACAAGATAAATAAAACTATCAGTATGGCAACATATCTTATCAAAGTAGGCATAATTAAATAACTCTGTTCCTTAATAACTTATATTAGGTATAAAAATAAAAAAGATTGATCATCCTTATTTAAACTAGAATATAACACACATGTTAGATAGTGTGTGCCCTTTTCTCTTATAAATTTTGAAATTATAAAAAATGTTGAAGAATTTATTCTGGTATATGATTATGTGAGAAGCACCTAAAGTAGTAGGACTGAGAGTTATAAAAAAAAGTATTTCGCTTTTAACTGCAATAAACTGGGATTAGAATTTAAATATATTTAATGAAAAGATAAATAAAGAATTTCCTCAGAAGTTAATCAGTCGATATTTCACAATTTGAAGGCAACAATAAAGTTTGATGAGTGCCATATGTAGCTGAGCCATCTATCGTGACTACCATGTCCCAGTAGTTGGTGAACCACTGAGCTAGGTTCAGTTATTTAATTAACACAGACCTAAAATTTATATGTAAGAAGCAGGATGTTCCAATAAAAAATAAAAGCAAAATATCTGCTGACGTTTAAAGCCTAAATTTAAAAAATATATATTAATAAAAATTTATTTGTTAATTATATAATAATTTATATTTAATATGTTTAGCTTAATATCTGTATTTGCTTAATTTTAGTCTGGACAGTTTAGTCAAGATATGATACCTACTGTTGGATTTAATATGAGGAAAATTACAAAAGGAAATGTAACTATAAAAGTATGGGATATCGGTGGTCAACCAAGGTTCAGGTCTATGTGGGAAAGGTATTGCCGAGGGGTGAACGCTATTGTGTAAGTATTATTGGCATATTTTATTCAAACTACTAAATATTTCTTCATTCTATTTTGTTTATGTTCCCTTTGCAGATACATGGTGGATGCTGCTGATCCAGACAAGCTGGAAGCGTCACGAAATGAACTTCACAATCTTCTCGATAAACCTCAGTTAATGGGCATTCCTGTCCTTGTTTTAGGTAACAAGAGAGATTTACCTAATGCCCTTGATGAGAAGGAACTTATTGATAGAATGTAAGTTTTTTTCTTTACTATTTAGTTACTCATCAGTTTAAAACTGAAACACTGATTCTCAGTATACCTGGATACAGGGAGATAATATACACGGATGAGGGGCTCCAATCATGTTTATTATTAAATTAAAGTTAATTAATTAATTAAACCTTTTTGTAATTCTATATTTTATGCTTTGAAGCTAAGTTGACTTTTTTCAATATTATTTAGTCTACTTTAGCTAGGAATAGGTCTTACAACTTTTATTTTTTTCTCCATTAATTGTTGATGTACTCTCAACCTATTTCTCAGCTTCTGTTTTTACTTAGACATCGATTTATTATCTCCATTACCTCATGAACTATTTGTTTTGTAGTCCTAGTGTTAAAACAATTCTAATTTTGGAAACCTATGTTTTGCAATTTAAAAACAACCATGAAAACTGTTGGTTTTTTTGAAGGGTGCTGGGTCACTAATGTGTTGTTCTTCTGGGTGCTAACAACCTAGATGATGAATAAGAAGAGCTGTACTAACTTTGTTTTTTCTCCTATGCCATCTTAATGTTGGCCACTTCAACCATTTGTTTTTGTGCAGCCCAATGTAATTATATATTTTGCCATATATATAGTCCTATTTTTTTCAATTATCTTCTTGTATTGGACAGATATGTTTGCTGTAAGTATTTAGTACCACCATATAAACCAGTAACAAAAAGATGCTGATAGAGGTAGTCTTCACTAGTTACCATCTAGAAGCTAGCTGTGAACTACCTACGTCACAGGTTCATTCAAATCAGAATCGTCCAGTATCTTTTATGATTTCCTGTTTGTTTTATTATCCTTTTTCAGCCTACAAAGTCAAAGGAAGGTTGGACTGATCCATTTATGTTCCTTTATTGTGTAGCTTGTCATCTTCCTTTTTTCACCTATCGCACAATGACTCGGAATACATTGAAATGAAACAGTTTTGGATAAGTTTAAAATAAAGTATTTTAATTATTGAGACTAAAAGGGCCTTTTTCTACTGAATTTTAGTTTATTTCATACAAAATATTAAAATTATTTAAACTTTTGTTTTCAGCTTGGCTGTACATTTGTTTAATATGTTAGATTGATTCAGAAATAATAATAAAATTTGCTTCTTCTTTTTGCAGGAACCTTTGTGCTATTCAAGATAGAGAAATCTGCTGCTATTCTATCTCATGCAAAAACAAAGACAATATTGATATCACACTCCAATGGCTGATAAACCATAGCAAATCTGGAGGGAGCCGCTAGCCTATGGTTCTTTAATCAGTTTCTTACATTTTTAACAAAAAAAATGAAAAAGGTGTACATTACGTTTCTTTAAATATAGGTTTTAATTGTTATCCCCACTGCTACTAGGGTTTCAAAGCAGGCAGTTGAACGTGGTTTCAATTGGATAACCATAATTTTTGTGAAAGTGGGAAAAATTATTATAGAAAAGTAGATATGAACTGTGAACTGAACTGAGACATAAGATCTTTTACCAGGTACTTGTTGCCATAGAATTCGTTTTTGTGTGTAAGTCCTGCATCAGAGCCCTTAGCTCTCGACTTGTTAAATGGCACGCTTTATAGTTATTACTACACGCATAGGGGATCAAAATGGCGAAGCTAAGGTCGTAGCTTCGCCCCGGCCTTTGGCCTCATTCAAGTCTTTTTTTTATAAAAATAAAATAAATATATAAATATATATATGTATAAATATTACTAATATGAGATAATGTGAAACAAAAATGTATGTAATAATAGTCTATTGTAATTAATAAGTATATCCCTATGTATTATTATCATTGTATAAAATTAAATGATAAGTTTATTGGTACTTTTAATTATAAATTCCTGAGTATTCAGATTTAAAGACTAATTAAAATTGTTTTAAGCTTTATAAGGTTTATTAAAAAAGAAAAAAAAAATCCCACTGGAACCCTTTCATCATCCTTTTATATAATGGTATATTTTAAGCAGAAAAAATGACTATAGAATATATTACATCAATAAACTTTGTTTAAAAATAATAATATGGATTGTAAAGAGACAAAAGTGTCACTAATGACCAAAAGGTGTGAAGGGTCCCAATGCATTGTTTTATTTATTTTTATAAACCCTTGGTCAAGTTACCATTAGGTAAGGAAACAAGTAGAGATGGAAATAAATTGTCAAAAACAAAAACCCTAAATAAAATTAGAAGATAGATTCATCTTATGAAACTAAGTAATATAGTCATTGCCTAATTGCTATACCCATTGCTTTTTTGTCTCTAGAAAAGAAATTGTAAAGTCTGATAATATGACTGTTATAACATCTTGTGAGGTTTTATTAAAACAGTATACAAGATTAGTGTTATATATCATTTCAACAAACATATAATATAACCTTTGGCCTTAATAATCACTTTCCATTCAAAATTAGGTATGTTTCCTCAAACGTTGGCTGTTGCTCACTTTGAAGGAATGAGTTGTTTCATCTAAGTTCATTAACTTTCTACATCTGTTAACATTAGTTATATCCATTAATTTATTTATTATACATTACTACGAAACATTATTGTATTGTAAAAAATAACAATTCTCACCACCAAATAAACATTCTGGTGAAAACATTAGTGGTAAATGAATTGCTGCAAGATTTTTAAAAGAAATAACTGTTCCGGAATTAAATAGGCAAAAGTTTTGTGCTCCTATGGGTATACCGGGCTTAATTTCAAACTGTCTCTGTTAATCATTTTTTACTTATTACGCCTCAATTTTTTGTTAAATTATTTTTAAAATTCTAATTAAAAGTTAGATTATTTTTTAAAGATTTGTCATGATGTTTGAAATTCTACTGCAGTAGTGGACCCATGATTTAATTTTGGGGGAGGGCTGCAGCCAGATAGCTTTTTAATATACATATATATTTTTTTTTTCGGTTGGCTCTACAGACCTTGTACATCTTTGACCGCCTGAACTAGCCTTCTCCACCTCTGCCTATCTTGGGCTACTGCCTTCCAGTTTGCGGCATGAAGCTCCGTCGTATCTTTGTTTAGCCTATCCATCTGGTTTTTGGCCACCCACGTGGTCTCCTGCCTACTACTCTGGCATTCATTGTTGTGTAAAGGTGTCCTGATGGATAGCTACATGCCCCGCCCACCTTAACCTCCTTGCCTTCATGTCATGAGATATTGACTGACCTGTTTCTTTCAGCAGTTCTTTATTGTTCCTTCTCCTCCATGTGTCAAGGTTCTGGTCCCGTATTGGGCCTGTTATCCTATGCAGAACTTTTCTTTGGAATCTCTCAATTCTGGCTTCTAATGTACCGGTTAGAGCCCAGGTTTCACAACGGTACAGCAGAACTGGCTTAATCACGGCAGTGTACACCCTTATTTTTAGATATCTGGATATTTTTCTGGATTTCAGTACCCTTGAAAGAGAGAAGAAAGATCTGTTCGCACTTATTATTCACTGGTATATCTCTGTTAGTTGATCATTTATTGAGGTTGTGGAGCCAAGGTATTTGAATCTGTCTACTTCTGGGAATAACTGAGAATCCATGCAGATCATATTATTAGGGTGTATATTTCGGCTAACTATCATGTATTTTGTTTTATCTACATTGACCTGTAGTCCGATTTGCTCTGCTTCTTTTAACAGAGTCCGAGCGAGTCTCTCAATATCTTCTTGATTACTTCCGAGGACAGCTATATCATGCTAGGATTTTGTGTTTCATTCCAATATGCACCCCTCCATCTTCGTGTGATGTTCTTATTACTTTCTCTAGTGCTAAGTTGAACAGCATCGGCGAGAGTCCATCTCCCTGCCTCAAACCCGTTCGAACTTCAAAGGCTTCAGATACATCTCCTTGTATTAGTACCCTGCATTTAGGATCATTTTTACACGCCTTCGTCAACCTCACTAACTTCCCAGGAACACCCAGCTCAGTCATGATCTTCCAGAGACAGTTTCTGTCCACGGAGTCAGAGGCTGCTTTGAAGTCGACAAATAATGAGTGTATGTCCTGATCTACTTTCCATCGTTTTTCAAGTACTTGTTTCAGGATGAATATCTGATCTAGCATACTCTTCCCTCTCCTGAATCCTGTTTGATGGTCGCCTATTATATTTCATAATACGGATATATCTGATTTAGTAGAATATTAGTCATTATTTTATAGGCGACCGGAAGAAGTGCTATGCCTCTGTAATTGCCATATTCATACATGAAGCCCTCCTTAAGGATAGGACAGATCAACCCTGTGTTCCATGTTTCTGGAATCCGTTCCTTCTACCATATCTTCAGGATTAGATCTAACAGCTTGGCTCTGAGGTCTTCTCCTCCATCCTTGAACAATTCTGGTGGTAGGTTGTCTATCCCTGGAGCCTTTCTTCTTTTAAGCTTGCCGATAGCTATTTTATGTATATAAAATATATACATTTTATATATATATATATATATATATATATATATATATATATATATATATATATATATATATATATATATATATAAACGATAATTACTTAAGAAAAAAAGAAAGAAACTAACTACGTATATAGAACAATATTTCAGTCCTGTTAAATGTAATTACATTAATAATACTTCTAGAGATAATTTTTTAATATTTTTCTCATAAGACCTTTTTATATTTTACCATTTTGGAGAGGGTAGCATTAGTCTGAAAGTAGGTTGAAAATAGAAAGAAACAGAAGAATCTATGGTAATACAGAAAAATCTGTTAAGAAAGATAGGTTGAAGAATTTCACCTCCACAAAACCTACATAATCATATTCTAGAATACTTTATCCTTATTTTATTTAATGCGAAATTAGTATGCCATTGAGTTGAATGATAATGGGAACCAAAATTTATATGAACTACATTAGCTATTCTAATTGCTAATAATTATTGGCTAAATATGTACTAAAATATGTTTTGGTAATTGCTATTCCTAGATTTTTTTTTTCCCTTTAAATATCTCATTTTACAGCTGTGGTCAAATACAAAATATTGTATTATAATAATACAAAAAAAAAATTATAAATTAAGTCTTTAAACGATGAAGATTTTTTAAATTTATTTATACCAATATAATGCACAAGGATTATTTCAATAAATCCTAACTGGATAGATTAAAAAATAGAATAAAAAAAATTATAACTATTAAATAGAATTACGATTAATAGCCAGAATAATAATTACATGGGTCCTTTCGGAAATAACACATGTGACATTTCTTTAGTCTTGAAAACAATTATTTTGTACTAAAATTTTTATTTGAAAAAATTACAAAAACTATCAATCTTTAGGCTATTTAGTTTTTATATCTTAAAGCTTATTTGGCCGGTAATCATTTACACCGCTATTCACTAAATCCCTTTACGTCGCCATCTCTATTTCTATTTGGTAAAAATTAGAATTTAATTTATAATTAAAAGAACAAAAATCAATTTTCTGTTTTTATGATGAATTTTCATCATTTGGCTATTGGAGATTGTTTGCATAATGATAAATTTTTGTCATGTGGACAAATATATGCTAACATGTTTTTCTTTAGTTTATATTGAATACTTGGTTGTTGTATATTATTGAGTGAGGAGATGATCCGTCCGGTGGTCTTCATATCTTTAAGACCGCCACCTTGGACCATCTTATTTTTTAATTTATGATGAAAATGTATATATATTTTAAAGGTTTCAATGATTATTGATTTAATTTCAATTTTCTTCATATTTTGAGTTTAATTTTTCTTTAATACTTAGTAATAAAGAGGATTTTGTGCAGTAAAAAAATTAGAAAATGTGCAACAAAAATAAAATCCTGCTTTTCAATTCATTTCTGTGGAAAAATAATTTTATCTATTTTGTTTCCTTACATTAACTAATAATATATCCATCTTAAAATTGTTTAGTATTGACAAATAAAGTGGTAAACTAAAAAGAATAAAGAAATCGGTAGAAAAATGCTTTTAATAGAGCAATCTTGTTACTTGTGGACTAGGGAGAAGAAATAATCCAGGTCTATCTTCACCACTTATGATTCTAAAATGTACATACTAAGGATTTTTGGAAATTTGTCCATTAACAATCGACCTTTGTAGTTTAATGTCTGTTGACTAAACATTAACAAGTGATTCACATAATTGAAGGAACCTATTTAAGGCGACAACTCATGATGAATTTCTCTTTCCTAAAACGTATTTTGAATTATAGGCTACTTCCTAACAAGCAGACTATGCCACAGCTACGAAATTCTGTAGTGGATTCATCTTCCTTTGTACCAAATATTCTAATCTATTTTATATTTATTAAGCTTATTTTAGTAAGTAGCAATTAAACTTGTTTTCAATATTAAAGAATAAATCAGAGTTAATGGATTTATTCAGTTCTAAAAATAAATAAACCTATTTATTTGACTAGAGTATCTTCATATACTCATCTAAAATATTACTGTACTAATAGAATAATTTTGTTAACGAGGATAATTCAAATAACTATCAAGAAGGAGCATTTAGTTATCTATACTGAGATGCCCAATAGGGGATTTCATGGCGCAAGTTGTGCCATCAAAAGTTTTGAAGAGGGCACATTTTGATGGAGTTTTAAATTTTTGAGGGGAGCAAATTGTGATGGAGTAATGAATTTTCTGCAGAATGAAAAGTTTAAAACAAGGGAGCAAGAAGAAGAACATAGAGCAGACCACAAGTTTATTTGTATATGATTTACGATTTTTCTAATTCTAATTCTGCTTCTATAGGACAGAGGACAGCAATAAAATTTATGTGGAGGAATGAGAGAAGTTCATGTAGGGTACCCCTGTCCAGGAGAGAATCAAGATGGTTAGGGATGATATGAGCAGTAAAAGTATTTATACTTTATTCGGCCTCCATCTTATTGTATGCATTCTATGTGCGGTGGTCTTCCAATTGTGGATCCTACTATTACTGATGTCCTATTTGAATACTACGGATGTTATGTGACTATACTGGTGTTGATTATAATTGCCAAATGTATTGTGCCTTTAATATTCTCCAGAAGCAGATATTAAGTCTACTAAATTAAACTATATTATATCTAATATCATTTAAACTAACATTGACATAACATCTCATATAGACAGATATTAATTATATAAGTGAGGGGGCAATATAATTAATTTTTTTTTGTGGGAGGGGGATTCGTGCCATCAGCCTTGGGAGGGGGGCATGGACACCCCTATATCTATAATACATTTGATTCAGCTCAGTAAAGAGATACGATTTCAGGACAGTTTTATTATTCTATAAACATAAAATTTATCACAAGTTTATTAAGATGTTGAGACAATCAGCAGCTCAATGTTGGCTGATCTGCAATAGATCAGAAAATGCAGTTTTCTTTAATAGTTACATAAAATTTAAAGGAGTTGAGGAACTAATTAAAAAAGTCTGAATAAATGGCATTTTATAAGTATTTTATCCATTACAATACAAAAATGAATCTTCACAAATTTACATAAAACTATTCAGCTTAATATATCTTATGAACATTTACTTTATATACAAGACTTTATCAGTCAATAGCCAATTAATAGGCTTATTTATTTATCCTTATCCAAACTTATAAATAACTCAAAACTAAGTTTAAGAAGTTTGAATATCTTTTGTCTCAATACTTAATAATTAAGCAGGTAATGAAGTTCCCTAAGAATAATGTCCTATTTCTTTACAGAAACACTCAGTGAGATTACCAGCGCGTTTTCAATTAAATACGAGAGTGTAAATAAATGAACAATGGATGAATTGCTAAGATTAGATCCTAACAAATAATCAGTTCTTCCACTGCTGAAGTTATTCAACAGTTTTAATAAATTATTTGATTACACAAAATAAATTAAACTTAAATCACAGTGTGCTCAACTACAATTCATCATGATCTTCATCTTTGTTGTCAGCATCTTCATCCGCAAAAGTCTCATTCTCATCTTGGTTCACTTCATTTGTTTCATCTTCCTCTTCTTCTTCCTCAATCTTTAAAAATACAATAATAAGAAGAGGGAGATCAAATACAAAAACTAAAGCGTACAAATTAAAATAAATACTTACAGGCTCATCCGCAGAGATGCCTAGAGACTGCCTTAACATTGACTCGACACCTTTAGCGAATTCAGCTGTTTCTTGCAACATATAACCAGACCTCAAGGTTGCTGTAACAAATAGAAAGAAAATTATTAGAAAACTGTGAACGGAGCATGTAAAAATTCAAATTAAAACAATTATTAAATCATACTAATTAACTTTGAAAAATTAAACAACCATTACAAATAAAGGGCAAAGCCACCTGAAAATAAATGTCTCTGTTTACTAAACCCCATAGAAATACAAATCAGAAATGTCGGCTTTAACAGGCGGTTGAGCAAAAAATTTCTTCCTTACAACGTATTGAACCCAATAGTCTTCATGAGTTGTAGTGGCAAAGGTTTTATTATAAAATTAAAGAAATCTACACACACCCTTTTCAACTATCACGTGTTATAACTTTATTATATTTACAGGTTACGCATGACTACTTGCGGTGAGGCCTCTTTAATTCTCTATTGGATCCATCTAATTCATTCTAAATATTCTTTTAGAGACTTGATATGTTTTTCTATAATCAACAGTTTTAACATTAGTTATGAACAGTAGGCTGGATTTTAGTTTTGTAAATTTGAATTTTTGTTCTGGAAAGTAGGCACTGATTAATTTTCTTCTCAGAAGTAACAATAATTACACGTCTTTATTCATTCTTGGATTTCATTTCTTTATATTAAATTATTGAAGAGTCCTCATACTGATATATTTACATCATTAAGTGGTACTTATTTATCTATTTCATTAGGTTTGTCAATTTTACTATCAGAATACTAGTAGCGATATAAAGAAAATAAAAAACAAAAATAGTATAAGAAAAATTAGTTATTTGCAGAACAAAATAAAAAAAGATTAGTTGTTTGTTTTTTTAGCTTTTAAGGTGCAAAACGCAAGGGTCATCAATGCCAGTGAGTTAAAAATAGATCAGTTTCAGGTAAGATGGAAATATGATTATTATTGATAAACTATTATTTTTCATAGAAAAATAAAAATAAATTTTGACTGAGCCAATTTATTTGCTGATAAATTGTAATTCTTACTTAAAATACCATATATAAAAAATATAATAATAGCACAATCAAATTATAATTACCAGTTCTAAATAACATAACAGCTATATCCTTTGCTTTAGCATCCTCCGGATCATCTAAGACCCGAGTTAAAAGATGCCTCATTACTGGATGACGTGGGTTGACTTCCAGAGCTTTCCTCTGATTCAAGTAATATGACCTCTCCGCACCATCAGCTTTCTGGTGAGCATTGGAAATAGCAAGTCTTTCCATGTTTCCAGACCAACCGAACATTGGAGCGATAAGTGCACATGGTGAATCAGTTAACCTCTCAGAGATGGTAGCCTTTGATATCTGAAAACAAATATAGGAATACAGCCAATGCCAAAAGATACACAATCATCAGTAGATTTAATCAACTCCTATAAAAAATAAGAGTTTATATTTAAGAGCATAACAAAAATCTATAGAAATTACATTTAATGCTTAAGAATAAAACATAAGAAAGGAACTTAAAGATAAAAAATTAAACTTAACAATTAATTCTTTTTGTAAAAAAAAAGTTAATAATTACAAAATAATCAATATATGCACTACAGTAAATTCATAATTGAAACAAGAGTGAAACTTATAATCACAACACAATACTTCAAAATTTAATTACCTTATCTTTAAGAGCATTTTCAGAAAGCCATTTCATTAAAGGTTCAAATTTCTCTTTAGCAATTTCAAGGAATTTGCTATCACCAGGAAGAGTAAAACCTTCTTTAGCTAGATTTTGGAATTTCTTTCCTTCAAATTCTGGAAGAGCGGCAATAGTATACTCATCAACAGCTTCAACGAGAAACAAAACTTCATAACCTTTCTTCAGCAGCCTCTCAACAAATGGGGATGATTCAACCTGTTAAAAACAAACATACAATAAAAGAATTGAGAATTTTCTAGAGCAAAAAATAAATAAATAAATAAATATATATATATATATACAACTAAGTGATATAAGAGAAATACATTTAAAAAAAAAATATGAAAATACATGTAAAAATTTACTTCAAGAAAAAATCGACACATAAAGAAAAAAACGAACTTTGAAAAATAAGTATTAAGAAGTACCTCAGTCCTTGAAGAACCAGCCATGTAATAGATATGCTCCTGCTTTGGCTTCATACGTGAGACATATTCAGCAAGAGTAGTCATTTCCTTTGGATCAGCAGAAGATCCGAAACGGAGAAGTTTTGCCAAACGGGATCGGTTAGCAGGGTCTTCTATTATTCCCAATTTGATGCTGAAATAAATAACAAAAAAATAAAATAAGCAGTAATTCTTCAATAATATGATTATATAATAAAAATAAATGGAGGGATGGTAATCTTTAAAAAACAATAAAACCAAGACTTTTAGTCCTGTAACCTATATAAACTCGAGTTGACAACACTGATGTTTTAAATGGCACTAGTAAGTTAAGTTACAATAGTAATGTTAAGTGGTCTTCCTGATAGGTCACACTTGTAAGTGCTGTATTTTTATGCTAAATTTGGGTTGATGTATGAAATAGATAACAGCAGCCTAGGGCCATGGTTACACACGGAGTGAAAAGAAAAAATAAATAACCAATTTTTCGCTTATATGTCTTTAAACCAAGGTTTGAAATCGATCTTTGATGTTTATTGATTTGATTAAAAATAATGATCACTCGCTGAGTGACACGGTTTTACATAAATAATAATGATTAAATTGTGATAAAATTCACATTTTATACACAAATTAAATTAAATATTAATATGTACTTATACATGATTAAAGTACACATTTTTTAATATTATATTTCTGAAATTGCTTTTATTGTGCATGTGATACCTATACTATATTCATGTATGTACATGTGTGTGTGTGTGTATATATATATATATATATATATATATATATATATATATTGACTCTGGAGTAGTAGGTGGAGAATATTGTTGTTAACTATTAGTAGTTAACTATTATATATATATATTTTTTTTTTGTAAGCCGAAATTTCTAATAAATTTCAGAAATAAAGATATTCTGTTGCTAATAGTTAACAACAATATTCTCCACCTACTACTCCAGAGTCAAAATATATCATAGAGATTACAAACAATTTATATTTCAGATTTAAAAAGTATTAATCAAGAATTATTATTATTCTTTAGTTACGTTTCACATGTATGTTTCGGAGAATCTGTGTCCCTCTCCTCAGCAATATAAAAAAATATACCAATATAATTAGGTTCAATGTAGAAACCCATATAGAAACGTACATTAAATAATTATCAGAAGTTAATTTTGATTTTGATTTTATTGACTTGTGTGAATAATTATTATTATTGATGATTATAAAAATTTTGTTTGAAAATAAAAATCATCAAATGATTTTTAGAAATTTGGATCAGATTTGATTTTGATTTTTTAAATTATCAATTTCAAACCCTTCTTTCTTTAAACCGTCAACATTGCCTTACTAGTGGTTCACCACCAAATGATGAACTGATTCATGACTCCTGAAAAATATTTTTTTTCTCGACAATTTCCAGATTTTTTTATTCTACGAAGACCAGCCCAAACAAGTATTTATATTTCTTTTCTTAATAAATATCAAAACCAAAGAGATCTTTTAGCCAAAATTTTAAGTATCTAAATGATAAAAAGCTTTCATGCATATTCAGGTGTTAGTAATTATTGTCATGACAATTTCATGCCCAAGGTAGCAAATTTATGGAACAAAGTTCACATTAAGTTAATTTATTATTTTTAATTTTAAGAGGATAATTAATGTTACAAAAAAAAAGAAAAAAAAAAAGGCTATTCCTATCTGTATTATCATTGTAGCTACTAAGTATGTTTTTACAGCTAGCTATTGAGTGCTGTAAACTGTTTCATGATTTTTTTTACTGAAACAAAGTGGATAAATAAATAAATATTATGCTTTTATATTTTCCCAGTGATTAGGAATGTTTTTGGAACAGGGCCACCCACTCCTATAATAGAAAATACTGACTGATCTCTAAATAAATTACCAATATTAAAAACCAGCATTAACAGCCAAGAACCATTATTTCCTGAAATCGGAAAAAAATATCTTAAAAAAAGAATTAGATAATAAACTCACTTAGTGGAGTACTCTTTCCAAAATTTCTTTGCATCTTCAGGGCTGAGCTTCTTGAACATGTCCAGAGCTTTCCTTATTAATTTTTTCTTAATTACTTTTAAAAGCTTATGTTGCTGCAGAGTCTCTCTTGAGACATTCAGAGGTAGATCATCAGAGTCAACAATACCTTGCAGGAAAGCCAAATATTTAGGGAGTAAATCCGTGAATTCATCAGTAATAAATACTCTTCTAACATATAGCTGCAAAAGCAAATATTTAAATTAAAATCGCTTGAAGAAATAATCATTATAATGTATATATGTACACCAAGAAGAAGAAAAAAATGCACATTTCCACCAATGCTATATTTCAATACTAATTGTGTAAACAAAACAAATCCTAAATATTCATTCTAAATACACCATAATAAACCTTATCTAATATCATTTCCTTTATGAAGAATTTAATCAGTAAGATCATTTTTTAAAGTGTATTCAAAGGTTCTGAATAAAAATATTGAAGTGGAATTTTTGTCAAATTTATTTTTATGAATTTAAATTAGGGCGCAGCATTGCAGAATCAAGGGACTATTAATATGCACTGTGCTACATTGGTTCCAGAAGTTTTGTAGTAGAGATTTCAACATGGAAGAAAAGGAAGGCCATGGCCACCATTCTGCAGTTGACAACGATCAGCTCAGATCAAATAGTGGAACAAGACCCAACCAAAACTCAAAACTACCCAAGAAATGGAGGTAATCAGTGAAGCAAACAAGTTGGCCAAGTAGATGCCACACCAATTTAATGGAAATTAAAAAAATTTCCTCCATGAAATCTGTCCCATGCTTTTGACAAGATATAAAAACAATCTATTTCTCGATCACAAAGTGAAGTTAGATAAAAAATGGATCTAATAGAACAACAAAATGTCTTTTATTCAATGGTGGACAAAGATGAACAGCCAAGACACTTCCTGAAGCCCAACCATAACCAAAGATCCTGCATCCAAAAAAAGTCATGGCCACGGTTTGGTGGTCTACTGTTGGTATTATCCACTACAACTTTCTCAATCGTGGTGAGACTATCACTGCCAAAAAGTACTGTCAAGAAATTATTAACATGAATTGGAATTAGCAGCATCTTTGTTTAGTACTGATTAATTGAAAGGGGCAAACCCTTCTCGACGATAATTCCAGATCACACATTGCACAACCATTGCTACAATGACTGCACAAGATGAGCTACAAAATTCTCCAACACCACTTTATTCACTTGACGTTTCTCCAACTGACTCATTTTTTCTGGTACCTGGACAACTTTTTGCACGAGGGAAATTTCCAAAACAGCACGACATTGAAAATTCTTTCACGAGTTCATTGTGTCTAGGGATCCAAATTTTCTTTAAGATTGGGATAAAAAAGCTTGTTGAACATTGGCAAAAGTACATTGATTCTAATGGAAATTATTTTTTTTGAAAATTGTACAGTTTAAGACATGGTGTATTTTCGATGAATATTACAAACCTGCATTATTTTAGCATATTAATACACATTCATGTATATTATATTAAATATATATATATTATATTACTAAGTACCTTAATATTATCAGAAGCAGTGCCATATCTATTGAATGAATCTGCAGGTTGAGCTTCTGGCACATAAAGAAGTGATTTGAAGCTGACTTCACCTTCAGCAACAAAGTGGACATGTGCGAAAGGTTTGGATTTGTCTTTTGTTAACGCTTTGTAGAACTCGTCGTATTCTTCTTCAGTTACATCGCTTGGTCTGGAAAAAGTCCATCAAAAATAATGTAATGTTGATTATAATATGTATAGCATTATTTATTAAAAAAAAGGGTTTAATGACTAACTTTCTAGTCCAGATAGGTTTGTGATCGTTGAGACGTTCCCATTCCCAAACTGTTTTTTGTACAGATTTTGTTTTTGGCTTTTCTTCCTTTTCCTCTTCAACACCAACATCTTCTTCAGCTTCATCTTTTTTGCTTTTATCCTCTTCTTCAGTTTCTTCAATGGGCTCTTCCACAGTGAGAGTCTATAAACAAAATTGTTATCAAAGTAACTAAAATAAAATATACCATATTAATGACCAAACTTGAAAAGTTAATTAATACACCATTGTGCAAGCATGAAAGTTTTGCACAAATCATACCAGATATTTAATAATTTTATTTAGTAACATAGAAATGGATTAAATGTATTTCAATTGAATTTGTATAAGTAATCTTTAATTTTTGTATCGTATCTATTCCTATTACATTTTGTCTTTCTTCGTATTTTCTCTTAGCTGTATTAGTGCAATCACCGATATTTTGGTGGCATTTTTAACAATATCCAAAAGCTACTCCAGCAAAAATGTAAAATTAGCATTGAACATTATACCTATAAAACTAAAAAAAAATTGATAATATTTTTACCATTCTTCTTACTGATTAGATCTACAAATTCAATAGCACTAATCTATCCAGTATTTTTCGAGGTTAGCAAATACTAATGAAAAATGGGCTTTCATATTAAATAATAATACATGACTTTATCATATTAATATTAAAAAATAATATTTACCTTGTCCGCCCAGAGAAAGATGGGGAAATTAATGAACTGGGAATATTTTTTAACAAGGTTCCTTAAAGTTCCAACTTCTAGATAGTCTGTAGCTTCATCTTTCAAGAAAAGGCTATGAAAAAATAAAATTATGTATTAATTAAATGATAACACAAAATTTTTTAATACAATACATCAAATATATCCAAGTCCAAAAACTTTTTTTAAAATTTAAATAAGTAGATACTTCAATAAGACTAAACAATTTTTAAAAAAATCTGGTGTGTTCCAGAAAAAAAAAAAAAATCCACTCACACGAATTTCCTACTTATCTCAGAAAAGTTTTTATATCTTTACATATGTACATCAAGAAAAAAAATCAATTTATTTTCTTGAAAATTGATCAAAGAAAAGATTTGAGAACGATATATTTGATAAACTAAAGCAATGTAAACCGGCTTAAGGTAGAGCGGTGTAAAAATTTCAATAACCACTAATATTGCTGATCAAAATTTTTTTGCCATAGCCTTATTTCTTCAAACAATAATTTCTGTTAAAAGTAGAGGTAATAGTAAAGCTTGTGTGATGCGGGCAACAAATTTTCTTACTTTCAACAAGTTATCTTTTTTCTGTCATTCATCCCTTTCTGACAACAGGATATGTACCCGTAATCTTAGATTGGAAATTGAATAACTGTAACTTCGTTAAAAGTTTTTTATATATAGTTTTGCAAGGAATTTCATTAACTTAAAAAAAAAAAAAAAGGCCGAAAAATGTGTTTTTCGATCTCAGGGAGCTCTGAAACGTTTAGATCCGTCGAAAACCGCATATCGAAATTTTGACCCGATCGCAATACTTTCCTTATCTAGTATAGCTAGGTGACAACGCCAAAAGGATCAACTTTAAGGAAATACTTCCCTACAATCGGTTCAAGAATGGAAACTACATGCATGGCCTCTCCCGGACTATTGGGTTTCACAATTCCTCACAGGGGGGATTCCGAGCAAAGCTTGTTCAACATGGTAAGAACATTGATCCCCTATGCCCAAGTTGTAGGGTACCGGAGACCACCGAGCACATCTTACTAGTCTGTACCGCCTATGAGGCATTGAGGGCTAAGTTGCTGAGGGAGACTGGGCTCTATGTCTTATCGGAGCGCGATCTCCCTCAGTTAGTGACCAAAGAGAACTACCCGCACTACAAGTCCTTTGTGTATGGCAGGAAAGACGTCATTGGCTCCCACTTCTATTTGGGTAGAAGAGAAGAAGCTCCACCACAGAGGATAGAAGAGCCAAGATAAGCAGAAAATGTAATTGTATCGATTGCAGTATTGGATACTTATGTATGCACGTGTAGCTATCCACTAGTGCAAATACTCATATTGCCTAACTGGCAGAGTAGAGACTTAAATAAATAAAAAAAAAAATAAGGAAAGTAATAAATTAAAACATGTCAAGAAAATGGAATACGCTGTATCATCGCGTAGTTAATGATATTTCTTGGTATTTCAAGTTGTGTGAGATTTTCCACTCTGTTTTTTGTGTGAAGATTATCGTATCTTTGGATTATGTTTTCATTATTGAGATTCTGTGTGTTATCAAGAAATATCATGAAATTATAATCTTTAGGGGAAAATTTTAGTAACGAATTCCAGAACAAAGATAAAGATATAATCAATTTAATAAACACTGAGAACATACTTGCAATCTACACACACCAGAAAATCATATAAATGCAAACAAAAACAAAATATGTACACTCATTAATAACTTTATATCCAACAGAACTAAAACAATATCACCTTTCAATATCCAAATAAACGAAGACCTAATCAAGCTAAAACAGTACATTGAACGAAATAATGATAATGTTATAATAAAACCAGATACAACTAAAAAAACAGCAATATTCTATAAAAAAGATTACAATGATAAAATGGAGGAGATACTGAGTGACAAAAACACTTACAGGAAAATAAGGAACAATCCAATACCTGAAATAAACAGTAAAGTCAATACATATGTAAATGAAACTCCATAAACTAGGATACATAAATAAATTCACAAAAAAATAACTTTCAGCCTCAGACTCCACTACACCAAGAATCCATGTTCTCATCAAACTACACAAACCTGACAATAGATTAAGACCCATAATAAACAATATAGATGGAACAACTGAAGCTCTCTCTAAATTCCTAAACCCATCCCTCAATGCTCTTAATAATAATAATAACTTCGAAAACTAAAATATTACTGGAGTTTATAGTTCTAAATATTCTTTATAGATATAAAATGTGGACACTTTCTTTAAAGCAAGAATCTAAATGTTTGAAAGCAAACTATTCAGCATGTTAAGATGAGTCAAAATGGAGAATTCTATAGGTCAAAATAATAACCTGATTTGAGTTCCTCGCTTGAGTGTGTTTCCTCTTGGATCTTCTGTTATGCTAAAGCTTCCAGCATCAGATTCCCAGATAAGTTGTACATCATCATTATGCTTTGTAGTTACAATCACACGGTCAGCAACTGAAACAATAATTAATGTTAATATAACTTAAAATTATTTTTAATGAAATATAGGATTTTTAAGACATTTTAAACATTCTTATACATACATACATACACACACATATAAATAATTTGACCTACCTAGAAAACTGGAATAAAATCCAACACCAAATTGACCAATCATATCCATTGTGTCCTGAGCTGATGTTCCTTCATCTTGTAGTTTACTAAGGAATTCAGCTGTGCCAGATTTAGCAATAGTTCCAAGGTTATTGATGAGATCGTTCTTTGTCATACCGATACCAGTATCGGTAATGTGAAGAACTTTTCCTTCCTTGTCAGCCTATTATAGAAATGATTATTTTAGATTAATTAGTCAACGGAGAAAAGATCATATTTATTAAAATAAAAAAATGGACAGTTTAATTATTGATACAAATTAGTTTCGCATACTTATGATGAGAGAATGATTTGTAACTCAATTTATTAAAAAAATTATGTTGTATATGTGGGTGTATCCAGAGGGACAAGGTAAAATTTAAAATCCCCTTCTAATGAAAAATTTACAAAAAATAAAATAACAACAAATTCTGAAAGAAACCGATTACGAAATAAAGACTAATCCACTCAAAATTAAATGAACTGTTTCTCTTTTGACTATACTATTGGTTGTGTTTCTAAAGTATCATAAATTAGAAAACTAGAAAAAATTACCTTAATTTTAATTGAAAGTTCTTCAGTTGCTGATAACGCAGAGGTATCTGTCAGTGAAAGTAATCTAATTTTGTCAAGTGCGTCAGAAGCATTAGATATTAATTCCCTCAAGAAGATCTACAACAAGATATTGAACATGAAATCAAAAATTCATAAGGTAAAATATATAGAGTTCACCATATTATAAAAGAAATTCACCTCCTTATTGCGATAGAGAGAATTAATAATAAGTTTCATCATACGATTGACCTCTGCCTGAAAAGCAAATTTTTCTGCTTTTTCGCGTAATTCTTTTAACTGAGCTACATTGAGTCCATCAAGTTTAATAGCATTTTCTTCTCTTTCAACAACCTGTTCATCTGAAACAATATAATTTATAATTTTACTAATGATTGGACAGAAATGAAAACTTTTAAATTAAATTGAAGTCAAAACTTCAAATTCACCATAAACTGCTCATGATGAAAACATTACTCTAATCGACTGATTCTAAATTTTATTATAAATTTAAAAATATTGAACAATTTGGGTGGATATGACACTGAAATCTCAACTGTAGAGTTACTTGTTCTTACATATTTTGGAATACAGAAGAAACTTTAAACTCAGTTCTATTAGATGTGGATTATTTACAGCATCAAAGCCAACCAAGCCTCCATGAGGTGGGTAATTGATCCTGCAATGGGTAATAGCTTGGAGGGAAAGTCGGACGGATGATAGAATTAGAAATAATTCTATTGCATGTTTAAAATTTAGCTGCAAAAGCAGAATGGATAAAAATAAAAAGCATAAAATGTTATTTTATTCTCAATTTAGATCAATCCTGTGATCAATACATTCCAAGAATGACAGATATAATCGGGGTTGCTTAGTCTGAAACAATGCTTAAGTCAACATAGTAGATACTACTAGACAAACAACTTATAGTTATACTAAAAAAGTTAAAGAACAGTGACAAGAAGTATTATTAAAAGAAAGATAAGTAACCATGGATTAAGATCATCTTTCTACAATATATTTATTAAGGGAGCAGCACATGATTGGCTAAAAAATAAATTTATTTGCGAATTCATCATTTTTATTCAGGACTCAATGGAATAAATCAGAATGAACACAGAGTAAACAGAAATAATCATTTGTATAACAGTAAATAAAATTGAATCTTAAATTAACTAATTAGTACAACAAACATTGCAGGGAGCTAAACAAATAATTAATAATTTGTAAAATTTACATAAATAACAATAAGATAGGTCAGATAATTTAATAAAATTAAAGTAAAACTATGTAGTATCATGTCTGGTTTTAAATTATCAATCTGAGCCTACCAGTCAAACAAATATGACACTATTATAATTTCACTTAAATTAATTTCTCCTTCAACAGTTTTACACTGCATAATGTCAGTTATTCGCAAATAAAGTAAATAAGTACTCTGTTTTTGGCAACAATTGATTTATTTGTTGTATTTCCAAATAAGTACATTTTTGATGGAGCTGAATTTTTAGGACGTTTTTGTGAATATCGAACTTATTTATTGAAAACAACATACAAGAAGTGCACTATACATCGAATATAGTGACAAGTACACAATGTTCTGATTTCATAATTCATCAAAGTGGTTATACTCAATACAAAGATTTAAGGTTATAAAATGTTACTTAATAGCTTTTTGTAATAAACCGATAATAGTGCCAATATAAATCATATTTATACCGAAACTTTGAAGTAAGATAAATGATAATACATTTATAGAGAAATATTTAATACTTCAATATTTTATAAAAGTAACAATATATGTTAATAATATCGAGAAGAAATATTAAAAAAATAAAATAAAAAATGGAAAATCTCAGATGAGAGAAAATACCTGTTCTAGAACCTTCTCTGCTAGCTCCCAAATCATCCTCCACAGTTTCCTCAGCTTTTGTTGTTCCTGATAGATAACAAAATAAGTTTATAGTCAGGAGATAATATTACATTAACATTATACTACAGCTAAATTTGAATAAAATAAATTACAATGAAAACATCAATATGTAGCTATATATAGTATGTTGGAGGTAAAATGTAAGTCTGATTTTCATAATTTTGACTTATTATCTTAATAACATAATTATGACTATACTTTCTGAGGATTAAAGTATCGGAATTTGAGACAAAGTTAGTAAAAATATAACGCTTTAAATATAAAGATTTTCTACTATTCACAAGTAATAAGTGCGATCTGAATTTTTAAATGTTAAGCTGAAAATGTTAACAATTTATCTCTGACTTACTGATAAATGATATTTTATACCATATTATAAACGATGATAATTTATTTACTTATGACTTACCTAAAAGGAACAACAATCCTAAACCTAAAAATATTAACTTCTTCATATTTGTCCCTTGACCAGATTAAACGTTATTTAACCTTTTCGCGACCGGTATCAAATACACACAACTACTCAACTCGTAACTAATGACCGCCAGGATAACACCGGCCTATAGACTAACTGTCGACCAATGGAACAAGTCCACGGAAGAACTCTCGACCAATCAGTGAGCACCAAATACCACGCTCTCCACCAATCACTTTCGATAAAGTGTATTCTCCTACTGCTGACAAAATTATTATTTATTGTATAAATGATTAGTGATTCTAATGTTTTGATGGACTAATTAAAACCTTTAGTATAACCTATTAAAATAGTAATTAGGTATTGTTCTTATGAAGCATATGCTTGTAGTTAGATGAGTATCATACACAGATTTGATTAGTCAATGAATTTTTTTTAATTCTACTCAATTATTTTGATTTTTTTTTTTAATTGAACATTAAGTATTTTAATCAATAGTATTCCTTTTATTTTTTTCATGTTTTGTCGGTGGTTGTCCAAAGACTTTCACTGAAGTACTATACATCTGGGTCATTGATATAAAATATAAGAAACTTTAGTTTTTTTTTTATCATTCACTCCAATCCAAATGCACCATAATCATGTTTTATTTTATCTTCTTATTAATTAAATACTTAAAAGACTACTTTTCATTTTATCTTAAGAACTCTATTGTCAAAGTCTACTTGTATTTTGACAATTTTCATATAGAAAAAATAATAAATAAACAATGCACTCAAAAATGAACAGGGATGTGTTCTAGAACTATTTATTAATGTTAAAAGTTATAATCATATTTACTGTTTTAAATCCTAAGGAAGAAGTTAATTTAAAAAAAAAAAGTTCTTTTGTACAACATTATTAATTTAAAATTAATTCCTTTCTCTTTTATAAAAAAAAATTTTATTTAAAAAAAACATTTAAATATAGGTAAAGAAATTACTTTATCCCCTACTACTACTGCTTTTATTATTTTTTTTATGATGTTATCGCTAATTTTAATGGGGCTTTCCTATCAAAGTAGGAAAACGGCATATGTTGAACGAAATTTTATTTTTAGGTTAAAGATAAAATATTTGTTTTTGATTGTTTTATCTTGAGTCAGTCGTTAAAATGGGTTTATATTACTATGTATTGGTATTCATTACAAAGTATATTACCTAAAATACTATTATAAAATTGTTGACTTATATCAGAAAAGAGGGATGGCAATATTAAACATGCCTCTTCTGGAAAACAACCTTAGTTTCGGTACGAAAACTCCTTATTGAGGAAGTACAAAGAGCTAGGTTCTATTCTCACATAAATTCTACTCACATTGATCAATTACCTACTGTAATAAGTTATATAATTCAAACAGAACCAAAACTATAGCCAGTTATTAAGATTTTGCCTGCAGTACAGCCTACATCAGGTGGTATAGAAAAATGTATTTGTCTTGAAAAATTTTGAAATTAGAGTCAAGAAAAAAATATGGATTGATGAAAAAATAATTATTTTTCTACTTATGTGGCACTGCTAAAGTCTTCATACTTTGCAAAAAATTTCATAGTTTGCAACAAAAAACACAGTCATAACTTTAGTAATAATAATTATTGTAGTAATAATATATCAGGTATTTAAAAGTATTAAGTCTAAAACCAAATATTTTCGGTAATAGATTTAATATTAGAATAGATAACATTATATTCCAACTATATAAAATTGCAAAAAATTTGAAATTTAACAATTTCTTTAATTTATCAGAAAAAGACAAATAGCCTATTCCATTAAAAAACCTTATTTTAAATTACATGGCTGGGAAGAACTGAAAAAGGGGAGCGCTAAAATTATTTATCTGGAGCGTCAGCTACCGGAAATCGAGACCAGGTATTCAGTCTGACTTATTTAGATATTGACAATTATATTGAACCCAAAAATTATCAACAATCTTATCTTTGTAAAAATAACAACGATATTTAAAAATAACTAAGATATTTACAAAAAGAGAAATCTTACAGCTTCCAAATTTAAAAACTGTAGGGAATATAAAAGTAAAACATAAAAATTTCCTTTAATCTCATTGATTGGAACTTATTTGTAGTATGTCATTATTTACGATCAATAGCTGTTATATAAAAACGACAATCAATGCTTCATTTGGACTAATAGAGCTGGTATACTATATTATATTAATCAAAAGTCCCACTGATGAAGATGTAAACAATACTGATAAATACAATAGAATAATTTTAGCATAAATTTGCAGACGAGAGGAAGTTAAATGAAAACATAACGAATTATTTGTCAGCTGTTTCTATGTTGGTCCAGCTGACCTATATAATAAAAACTATTGACCCACTCAACTGACGACCGTTATTTCATTAAGTTTATTTATTACATATACTTTCAAATTTTATATTTTGATTAATTTTTATTAATAAATCAATCTGAAATAAGTAAGGCCTCAGCTGAAATGTAGTAACTAATATATACCTATAAAAAAAAAAAATTATTATTTAAAACATAGATAAATGAAAGAGCGAAAAAATTAAGCCTTCTATTTCTGAGAAATATCCTTGTTCTGGCTTTGAATTGGAACATAGTATATGAGAAATTAAGAGTGACTATTAATTATTATAAATCGTAATAATTATTATAGAATAATGGTTACTATTACGACCTCATAATAATTAGCATAAAATGATGTCTAACTAGTCAACAGTTTTGTTCATATTCATTATGTAATTTAGTACGGCCATAACCTACTTTAAACGACCTCAAATATATAATCTAACAAGTTTTGTATTCATGAAATAGATTTAAACATCATCCTTCCATGTTAGATTAAAAATATTGTAGAAAGATCAGACTTGATATTTCATTCTCTTTGATACATCAGTTTTTAACATGAATAAAAACAGAATCTTTTATCAACGAATGAAAAAGTTATGGCTATAAAATCAACAAATAAATAATTATTTATTGACATAAAAACAAATACAAATCCCCAGGATAACATCAAATATTATTATTCAATTTTTAAAGAATATTTATTTTATACTCTTAAAAATTAAATATGAAAATTGATTTTTATTTTGTTCATTTTGCCTAATTTTGATGTATTGAGGTTTTTATTTTTTCATAAATTCAAGTCTATTTTCCACCAATATTTATTTTATTTGATAATATACTTTTTAACAACGTTTCGGCCATTTTCAAGACTTAATTCAGTCCTCAAACGTCGTATCCATCTTGACTATCCTTTTTTGTTCAGCTGAGAAAAAATAAAATGTCCTATTATTTTCGACTTTACCCTGCCACATCTATGGAGATATGAAGTGATTTAATCATTGTTAGTATTTTTTTCTTCTCCGATGGGTATCGGCAGAGGTGCCTATCTCCCCCAAGGCCGATGGTGCATAAACCTTCCCCCATCCCGCCTAAGATATTTTATTCCTATCTTCTTCTTAAAAACAGTGCAAAGGAAAGTAGAATTGGAATATTCATAGATTATATACCATTACACATCCTGTGGTCTGTTCTGTGATTCCACTTGTTTTTTGATTTGAAACTTTTCATTTTGAAATCCCGTCGGATTGTGCCACCCTCAAAAATTGAAAACCTCGTCAAAAAGTGCCCCCCCCCTCATTAATTTTGATGGCGTAACTTGCTCCATAAAACCCGTTTCTGGACACCCCTGGGTATTGGTAGCCAGGCTGTGGCCGAACGCTATTTCTAACCTAACCAGTTTATAATTCTAGACACCTTTTATTCACGTGTTAGTTGTGATTGAAAATGTAAAAATAAAATTTTCTTTATATGATTTGTGCTTCTTTAGCTTCATTTGCTATTTTTTTCCGAATGAACCAAGTTTTAGATATATGTTAATAATAAAAATCGCGTTGATTCATGAATTCTCTTGAAATGTATTCATTGTCAATACACGGGCTATCAATCGTAAAACATGGTTCTCGTCAACGATCAGGTCCGCTATAGGAAAGTATTAATTTTTTTCAAAAGAAATAATCCAATAATAGACTAAGCCTAGTTACTACACTACAAATGGCGGAAATACCCATCATACGTTTTTCCCAAGAATATCAAGTGGGGAATTCCATGGTATTGAAATTACTAATTTAAGTAAAATAATGAAAGAAATTCCAAATGAGCCATTCGTTCAGAAAGTGTCAAAAAGTTACTGCCACTTCACTTCAGTGGCGAATCCAAGCATTTTTTGAGGAAGCTATGGTGGAAAAAAATATCCAAAAAAAGCCATGTTTTAGGTTTTAGGTAGGATCAATTTTGCAGTTAAACAATTTAGATGCCATTTGATGGCACAATACTATACGAAACCAAAAACTAAAATACAAAATAAAATTTTACCATCAAATGGCGGTCGAAATTCCATAACTGGAAAATTGAAACTTAAAACGTGTTTTTTTTTTAAATATGCCTTTCCTCAAATTCAAAAACTTTTTAAAGATAACATTTTTTCTCACTTTTATTAATTTTCTAATGAATTGTGTTCAGTAAAATCTTTACCTTTTAAATCGTGGCCCAGATGTCTGAAAAGTGGTAATTGGTTGGCGAGATGTCCAGAGCGAAAACTTCATAAGGAAGTTTTTTTGGAGGTCGCTTGACGCGCGAGAGACTCAAGTTTCATGTTTTTTACTTTCACTACCCTATATATGAAATATATAGTAAGGAAAAGTACTGCAATCGTGAACATTTTCTAATCTAAATTTTCAACGGAAATACACGTTTTGAGGTCTCTTGAGTCAATATGACCAAGTCCCGCAAAATGGTGTGTGTCTTGTTTTGTGTGTGAACAGTCTAGTTAAAAAAACGAAAAGTCGTATGGAACTGAAATTTCGTATTTAAGGTTTGTACATGCTTAGCATGTTATAGCAACTTTTTCTTCGAAATCGGCCAACCTGAACTGGCACCTTACATAATCGAATTTATACCTTTTTACAATTTTCTGAAAAACGATAAAGCCGATCAAAAACGGCTCTAACGATTTCGATTAAACTCGGTGTACTTATGTGTAATTAAGATGCCTTTAATATAATTTAGGTCTTATTCCCATTGATGTTACTTAACAGAGCTTAAATGCCAAATGTTCAAAACTTCTTCGCCTGAAGTACCAATAATTTGATTTTTTAAAATAATTAACTATCTCTCATTTTTAGCCATCATGAAAAAAAAAGCTAAATATAACATTTGAAAGAATTTGATAATTGAATAAAGGTGAAGAAAGGAAAAATATTTATTTAGGGCGAAAATTGATCTCCGAAATTAATAGTAAATACCATCGAAAGTATTTTGCTATGGTATAAGAAAAATATTAAAATGAGATAATTTGATCCAATTGAAGG